GAGGTCAATGATTGCAGCTCACCTCGAAAATCTTCTAAACTTGTCAAAGTTTGAAACATGTGAAGTGTATGTGCTGATGATGAAATGAATTAGTGATGACATAATTCAAGTTTTTTGGGTTGAACTATGTCTTTAAGGTAGCAGAATGTACCATGACTTGTAATATGCCTCGTGTAAAGCAAGTAGCAAAGCAATAGAGTTTAAACTAATACACTTACATGCTAACTGATTTATATTGCAATTAAACAAACATGCATTCTTTTGAATTTCTATAAAATTCAAATTGTTAAACACAAAGGTGTTTTTTGATTCCTTTTGGTCACACACACATGCACACGAACACACGAACAAACACACATACACACACGCACACACACACACACACACACACACACACACACACACACACACACACACACACACGTGCGCACACACACACACACACAAAAACAATTGAATGGCTAAACAAAAACATGAATGAGCAATACAGGATATGCTAAAAGAAACATAACCTGCAGCTTCCTGAAAGATTAGCACCTCTTAATCACCTTGCTGAGTCAGTGTTTTAGCCACAGCAAGTTGACAGTAAAACTGATTGTAAACATTGTTACACATTTATCTTGAGAAGCCATTCAATGTTCAAATCTCATTAGCTGGGAAGAAAGAAGAGCATTTTACTGAAATAAAATCCTGTTGACTACAGGTTTATTACCTGCTTATAATTAATACATTAGCTGTTTATTACTAAAGAGCTAATAAGTATGCGTAAGAAAGTACTAAATAAGTATGTATCCTGCCCAGTACCTAAACCCAACTTCTAACTATTAGTAATAAGCAGCTAATTAGTAATTTATTGAGCTAAAAGGTTAATAAATGACTAGCTAATGGTTTGTTAAAAGCAAGAATTGTACATTAGCATAAAAGGTGATCAAAATGTTAATTTAGCTACAATTTAATGTTTATATTTCATCAAACTACAAAAACACACACTAAATTATAAATTAAACAATTTATATAAACATCAAAATAATTAATAAATATTTATGCTTCATCAAACTATTAAAGTATAAATAAATAAATGGACAGGCGACTTTTTATATTTCATCAAAGTATAAATAAAGAAATAAACAAATAAACAAACAAATAAATAAATAAATAAATAAATGGGCTGACAATGTTTTATATTTCATCAAACTATTAAAGTATAAATAAATAAATGGACAGTCGACGTTTTATAATTCATCAAAGTATAAATAAATAAATAAATGGGCTGATAATGTTTTATGTTTCATCAAACTATTAAGGTATAAATAAATAAATAAACAAATAAACAAATGAGCTGCAAATGTTTTATATTTCATCAAACTATTAAAATATATATAAATAAACAAATAAATAAATGGGCTGCCAATGTTTTATGTTTCATCAAACTATTAAAGTAATTTTAAATAAATAAATAAATGAATACATAAATAAATAAATGGGCTGCCGATGTTTTATATTTCATTAAAGTATAAATAAATAAATAAATAAATAAATAAATGAGCTGCCGATGTTTTTTATTTAATAAAAATATTAAAGTATAAATAAATAAATAAATAAATGGGCTGCCGATGTTTTATATTTCATTAAAGTATAAATAAATAAAGAAATGAGTTGCTGATGTTTTTATTTAATAAAAATATTAAAGTATAAATAAATAAATAAATGGGCTGCCGATGTTTTATATTTCATTAAAGTATAAATAAATAAATAAATGAGCTGCCAGTATTTTTATTTAATAAAAATATTAAAGTATAAATAAATAAATAATAAAATTAACAAATAAATAAATGGGGTGCCAATGTTTTATATTTCAATAAAGTATAAACAAATAAATAAATGGACTGGCGATGTTTTATATTTCATTAAAGTATAAATAAATAAATAAATAATTAAATAAATAAATAAATAAATAAATAAATAAATGCGCTGCCGATGTTTATATATTTAATCAAAATATTAAAGTATAAATAAATAAATGGGCTACCGATGTTTTATATTTCATCATGCTATACAGTATATATAAATAAATAAACAAACAAATAAATAAATGGGCTGCTGATGTTTTATATTTCATCAAAGTATAAATAAATAAAATAAATAAATAAATAAATAAATAAATAAATAAATAAATAAATAAATAAATAAATAAATAAATAAATAAATAAATAAATAAATAAATAAATAAATAGAAGTGGGCAATCATGAACACATCTCACTAGGAAATGTAATTATTTTACTTTTTGTCAGTTTAGCAGATAATTTGTACGAGTTTAGTCGTATGAAATTGTACGATTCATAAAAGGAGGCGTAGCACCAAAACATATCTTAATACTAGGCCCTACTTGTTGAGACCGCTCAACGTGTATTAAGAGTAATCCAGATTTCCACTGACTGTGGCAATGAACAACCATTGAAGGGCAAATGTGGCAGGGACATTTCCAAGGACAATTCCAGCAAGCATGGGCACTGTCCCTGGAAAACAGACATCTGGTCACCCTGTAGTATGTAGAAATGAAGCAGAAAAGCCAGAGCTTGATGGAGCTCAGGGCTTTTGCTAGACTGGTTTGGGCCCATTGCCCCTTTGGCTAAACATGCTAGAGATGAGAGAGACGGCCAGCCCAGTGGTGGTCAAACTCTTATCTAACCAACAGCAGCTGGCTGAGATTGTCTCCATGGAGAGACAGACACGTTTGGACTGCAGTGATAGTTGTCCCGCTTGTCTCATAATGGTTTGTTATACATGAGAGATAAGTTTGTGATGCAGCAGACACACGTCTAGACATTTAGATGCTGATAGTAAGTCAATCAGCCTGATTGAAGCAGACGAAATACAAACAGTTTACAATCGCTAGGTGCGAATATTAAATAATGCTGATAAGAATTGCGGGTTGCGTGTGGGGAACACTTCATTTGACATCTAATGAATATAAAAAAAAAATTACAATAACATGTTAAAATAGAAAACTTTACCTCATATTTCGAAAAAAAAACCTCAAAAAACACTAGCTGAAGTTTGCTGTTTGTGACTCTTTAGTAGTTTTACAAATAATAAATTTAGCTCCTCTGTCATCTTTTTTATCACCTTTTTTTTTTTTTTTTTTTTTAAAGCCAAAGCTCTGTAAATGTATATTATCCCGACATGTTTGGCTAAGTTTACAGGTACAGTCTGGTGTCTGCAAGTTGATGACGGTGAAGAAGAGAAAAATGGAGCTGAAATATAGCCAAACCATGTCAATATATATTTATAACAGGAAACTAAAATTTTAAACCTGAACAAAAATACCTGATATATGACTTCAACCAAATATCTAAAGATTTCAATGTCAAATACAATTCAGTAATGATCATTTGATTTACACTTGAAATTGTAGTGCTAAAATATACAATATTTGATTTTCTTTTACTTAAAAAAAGTTTAACTGAACAACCTAAGGGTTCTCACTAGGATTGGAAATGGTATTCTAATGAACAAGGCTATGAATATAAGCCTATCGTTATAATATATAAAGGCTCTGATTTTTTTTAACCGAATAATTTTTTTTACTTTCTTGCTTAAATCAAACTTTTGTATGTCTGTCTGAAAAAAAAAAAATTATTCTTGAGTACAATTTAAATTCCTCCTTTTTTGTTGCTTATACTCAAGTAAAAATTTCAGCTTTTAATACCTTTTATTCATGTCAGATTTTCCTTCGTTATCTGTTATTGTGTCATTTTTAGTACTATTAGCTCATCTGTTTGGAAGTCAACAAGCTTAAAACACCAATTTTGCATTGTTCACTTGTTTAAATTTACAAAACACATCTTAATACTAGGCCCTACTTTTTGAGACCACTCAACGTGAATCAAAAATAATCCAGTGACACTCTTAAAATGTAGATAATCCCGACATGTTTGGCTGCGTTAACAGGTACAGTCTGGTGGTTGCAAGTTGATGAAGATGAAAAAGGGAAACAATGGAGCTGAAATATAGCCAAACCATAACAATGGATGTTGAACAAAATGTTAAATATATATATATATATATATATATATATATATATATATATATATATATATATATATATATATATATATATATATATATATATATATATATATATATATATATATATATATATATATATATATATATATATATATATATATATATATATATATATATATACAGTTGAAGTCAGAATGATTAGCCACCCTTTGATTTTTTTTTTCTTTTTTAAATATTTCCTGAATGATGTTTAAAAGTTAAAAGATCAAGGAAATTTTTACAGTATGTCTGATAATATTTTTTTCTTCTGGAGAAAGAAAGTTTTATTTTTATTATTTTTTAGAGAGTTTTATTTCAGATAGAATAAAAGCAGTTTTAAATTTTTTTAAGGTCAAAATTATTAGTCCCTTTAAGCTATATTTTTTTCGATAGACTACAGAACAAACGATCGTTATACAATGGCTTGCCTAATTACCCTAACCTGCCTAATTACCCTAAGTAACCTAGTTCAGCCTTTAAATGTCACTTTTAGCTGTATAGAAGTGTCTTGAAAAAAATCTAGTCAAATATTATGTAATGTCATCATGGCAAAGATAAAATAAATCAGTTTTTAGAGATGAGTAATTAAAACTATTATGATTAGAAACGTGTTGAAAAAATATTTTCTCAGTTAAACAGAAATTGGGAAAAAATAAACAGGGGAGTTAATAATCCAGGGGGGCTAATAATTCCGACTTCAATTGTAAAAATTTATAACTGGAAACTAAAATTTTAAAATACCAACAAAAATCCCTGATATATCCATGACTTGAAGCAAAAATCGAAAGATTCCCTGATTTTCATTGTCTGGGATGGTCCTTTTCCAAATTCCATGACCTGTGGGGACCCTGAGAGAAAATTATCCTTTCCAAATAAACAGTTCTTCACTTTGTTTACAGAAACAAAACACAAAAAAATGGCTCGGTATTTTAAATTATACTTTATTTAATATAAAACAAACAATAAACAAATAAATTAAATATTTCTAAAATAATTCTCTTCAGGGGAAATTTATAATAACATCGTTTGATCGTTACATTGGGGAGTTATACACAAATGGAATGTCATGTGGTTCGTAACTATGGATTTTTTCATACATAAATTCTGCAGGGATGAAGGACTCCTTATGAGTCTCATTTATAGTTCAAACATCTCTGTAGCTGCCTGAAAAGAAGATTTTGAGATCTGACGAAAGGCAATTGAACAATTTTGCTCTCGCTGGGGAGATCTACTTGTACTCATTCGTAGTATGCTGACCATTTGTCCCAGAATGTGCCCGAAGGGATCTGTAGGAGCGTCCCTGGCTGGGAATGCAAAGTATTGGTAAATTAACTTGAAAAAAGCCATTGGCTTCTTATCAGCTTGTGGGAAGAGGCTTTGCATTCCCTGAAGGACATTGCCGAGTTTGTTTAGAAAGGCCAGCATTAGCATTTGTATATTAAAAGATAGTGCAGGATAAAGATGGGCAGCTGGAGCCATTAGCATAATAAGGGGCTTTCTCATTTGCACACAAGCATTAGACAGCCCCCCAATCACCCTCGCCAGCAGTCACACACATTACAGCTGCATGAGACCATTGTCCACCTCGGCGTATGCCTGGACCATGCAAACAAACTGGGGTGGTTGAAAGGTTACAGCCAGACAATGGAGGATTCACCATTTGAAATCAATCAATATCAAGGCATTTCACATTCAGTCGAGTCCTTTTCTTCCGTACAGTACTGACAATGGAAGTGTTGCTGGTCCTGTTTGAATGGGGTGAATGGTCGGAGAGAAGACCAAGATGAATCTATGCTTACCAATCGGTGAGGCATGAAATGAACAGAACAACAGGAAGTTGAGTGCTCAGAGATTTAGCATTGACAGTGTACAATGGTACGAGCAGCAAACAATAGCTATGGTAAATGTGTCGATGAACCGTTTAGGAATAGCTGTAGATTTACAAAACTTCACCTAAGTAACACCTTCACTTTATATCATTTAGAATAATTTATAGAATGTAATTGTCTTCTGTAGTGATATGTACATAAAATATTTTAAGATATTCACAGGAAATCCAAAAAATCAGGCACTTTGCTGCCACTACAGCCATTTTTTAACATGCAAGATCCTGAGATTTAAGACCGTTCTTTAAATAGGAAAACGTAGAATAAATTTTTATAGAGAGAGATTTATATTTATCAATGCTATCCATTTTATATCAAAATAAATGTTCTCTTTTTTTTAAAAAATGCTTCTGTATGTTGCTCCAATGTAGCGTTCTACATCTAGCGGCACCCATTCAGTAAAATCATTTAGCTCATGATCAGTCCGGAAGATATGCGAGTGAAAATTATTCACCACCAAGTTTCATAGTGCCAAGCATCATTATAATGTTCTTAGGCAGAGCGACGAAGGCCACAATCCTTGTTTTGTGTTTCTGACATTCACAAGATGTGCCACAAAAAATAAAACTATCGCATTGTCGTCTTTAGGTCCATCCGAGAATGCACATCGTGGTAGCCAAGGAGGCATGGTTCGGTTGACAAAGCATCATGGGTAAACACAGAATCATTGTCTGAAGAGCATGAGCTGGAGGTGTCCTCACAAGATGGAGAGTACTGTTCGAAAGGGGTGGATAGGTCCAGGTACTAAAAACACAAACATAAGAACAATTTAGAGGCTTGGATATAAAACAACATCGTACGGGATTCAAACTGTCACCAAAACAGGTGTTTACCTCATCTGAAATTGACACCAGCACCCTATCGAGCTCTTCCACAAGTTGTTTGAACGTTGGTCTTTGAGTTGGTACTGCATGCCAGCACTCTCTCATCTTCATGTAGCTATAAAAGCAATGGGAACATAAGTAAATCACCTTAAAGTGATACACTATCAGAAATAAAGGTACAAAAGCTGTCACTGGGGCAGTGCCTTTTCAAAAGGTACTTTTTAGGTACATTTGCGTACTAATATGCACCTTTGAGGTACCGCTGTAAATTATGTGGGTACAAATTTGTATCTTTTAAAAAGGTACTGCCTCAGTGACAGTTCCTGTGCCTTTATTTCTGAGAGTGTAAAGTAAACACAATGTTTGGGTAATCAGACTGATTCTTACAGTTCATGGGTGCAGTTGGAGGGTTTATCCATCCGATGGCCTTCCTTCAGCAGCTTAAAAAGCTCCTCTACTGGTATCCCAGGGTACGGCGATCCTCCCAATGTGAATATCTCCCACATCAAAACCCCGAAAGACCATCTGTGAAAACCAGAGGTCAAATATGTCAGGAGACTATGTAGGATAATCAGCTTGAGCAGTACTAATTCGATGCTCCTGTTAGTCATATACTTTAGTCATTAAAACATCCACCATCTAAATCAGGATTAAACTACAACAGTGCAATCTGGTTAATCTAAATTGACCGGCATTCCAGCCAGAGGGATCTCTGCTCAGCTGATTCTTTGGCATAGCTGCAGTGATTAGCCAGACTTACACGTCGCTCTGGTGTGTGTAGACTCTGTCAAACAAGGCTTCTGGTGCCATCCATTTCACTGGCAGACGTCCCTGAAATTGGAAACAACAGGGCTGTGAGCGGGACAGTTAGCTGCCACACAGGCCGAGCCAAAGCACTCCACTTTCTTTTGATCCACAGAAACATGGCTGCCCACTCCTTTGCTAATACTCCCTGCCCCCCCCTTTCTCCAATTATTTTCTATTAAGCTGTCTGCCAGTCAGCATGGACACATTACACATCTGTCTTTAAAATCATTAGGACTTCAAACAAGCATTGCTTCCAAATGGGATATTGTTAAAAAACAACCGCTCGCTAAAGATCTAAGAAAACCTTGAATATATTTATAACTCACATTAGTTGTCTTCTTGTAGTAATCAATTTGATGCACTCCTCTTGCCAAGCCAAAGTCTGCGATCTTCATCACATTGTCTTCTGTCACAAGAACATTTCTTGCGGCTAAATCTCTGTGAATGCACTGTAGAGAAAGAAAAAGCATTTCTGTTTAGTTGAAATGACACAAACAACGTTTCGCTGACACTGATAAGTAGATAAACATGTTCATAGTGAAGCTAGAGTTTGCTGCCGCAAACCTCAAAAGTAATGACAAACTACTTTCTATACGAGCACAGCTGTCTAAATCAACATATAGCAAGCAGCTAAATTTTAAATAAGCCCTACTTTAAATAGGCTCGGAGCTAGTTTTTGATGTAAATGCATGTCATTAGGTTTATTTTGGTTTTCACTTTAAATAGAAGTGGTATTTGACGATTGAAAAAGAGGACGAAAAAGGCCCCTGGTTTGTGGCCCTTAATGGAGGGGTTTCAGACGGCTGCATTCTTAGCAGGCCACAAAAAGCTAGTAATACGATCCAGCGCACAGGCGGGTCCGAGCGCCTGCTTGCTAACAGATTTATGGCAGTGCTAAAAAGGACAAAGCCCACAGAGACAGGATGGACACAGCGGTAAACACGACACACCACCACTCCACTAAGGAATGCCTGGCATCACGTGTCGGACACAGGGATGTGTTGATAAGATTTGGGAGGGGGTTCTGGTTTTAAACTGAAGCTAATTGAGCCCTTACTCTTTTGGAAGCCAGGTACTCCATGCCTCTTGCCACTTGGTAAGCACAAGAAACCAGGTCTTTGAAGGTGAGCTGTTCCTCAGGAACCTTGGTCACATCAAAGGTGTAGTCCATGCCAGGAGGTCGACGAGCTCGGAGATATTCCCGTAGGCTACCTTTTGATGCATATTCAACCAGCACGTACAGCGGACCTGAACCAGAAATATACATTTCAATGTCAAGTGGCCAAATAAGGTTCATGCAACAAAGAGATGTAACAGTGTTTAGCTTACCGTCCTGTGTACAAACACCAAGAAGATTTATGATGTTCTTGTGCTTGTCCATAACCTTCATGAGCTCCATCTCAGAGATCAGGTCTGCAAGGTCTTTATCGGTTGCATCATCTGACAGATAAATCCCTCTTTAGTCTTCAATTCAGAAATGCTCAATACATTAATACAACATCTACATGTCATGTACACGCATACCTTTTAGCATCTTAACAGCTACAGTTGCCATATGATCTTGATTCTCTTTGTTTATCCCATACGCCTCTGCTCTAACCACTTGACCAAAGCAACCCTCTCCAAGCGGTTTCCCTAAAGTCAAACTGGCATGAGAGAATTTAAATAACTAGTTAGTTCACCATTACATGAAATGAAACATCTTTTACAGCTACAGCTGCTGGTACTGCTTACTTCTCTCTTGGAAACTCCCAATCAGGATCATAAGGCAGTTCAAACTCCATAACTCCAGCCAGCATTGGGGAACAACTGGAGGAAAGACGAGCCACCCTCATCAGTGACGCACTTGATTTTCCAGAAGAATTGGACTCCACTGAATACTGCGATAGAGTCCAAAACATACATGATTAGAATCCAGAAAGCTCTTCTGAATACCATGATCTTGGACAATTATCATGAGGTTTATTCAGGAGTGTCATCTTACCTGTCTGCGCAAAGGAAATTTGGAGAGTTTCTGTACTGGGAGCGTATCAAAAGGCTCCCGACTGGGGTGAACCTGCATGCGGCAGAGGACCACAATCACAATGGCCATCACCAGTGCCAAAAAGCCAGAAGCATAGATGATGATGTCAGTGTATTTGGCCTCCATTAGGTCCACCTCCTTGGCTACATCCTCCTCTGTGGTACAGACAGGCATGTTTTTACTATCTGTACGCGTAAGTGATTTATATTATTTATTTAATGCCTGTGTCTTTACAAACCTACCTGATAAGACTGTGAGCCAGGCAGATTGATGAGAGAAACCAATAGAGTTTCCAGCCAAGCAGGTGTATTCTCCAGCATCCTCCATTGAGATATTGGTAAGATACAAGACTTCAACTTCAGACATGTTCAAGCTTCCTGTCTGTTTAAATAAACAATCAAGACAAATCAATATTTTTATACCAAAATAATGATGTGATTTGTCTCCAAGAAAAAAAAGTAAGGAATGATTTCCTATATACCTTCACAATCTTCACATAAGGAATGCCATCAGGCCCATAACGGCTGCCATTCATTTCTATATGCTTGAGCCACTGGATGTGAGGCTGAGCATCACTGTACACTTTACACAGGAACTGGGCATCTCCACCCACTATAGCTGTAGTGTTTTTGGGGAGACCAGCTTGAAGAATTGGCCTGTGTGGAGAGCGTTCTGAAAGGTGAAATTGGAACATTTAGTTCTTTTTCTTAACATTTAGCAAAATAATTATACAAATGCAAGTTTACAATCGAGAGAATTTAAATTAAGATACTAAGGCACAGGGACAGACATGCAGCACTTTCCAAAGCTGATCAACGCACACTAATTAGTTCCATAAAGGGATTTTTAAAACTAGGCCCATGCATTGGGCTGCTTTGAAGTCGATGAGCTCTTTATTCCCTGCTCTTTCCCTCTTCTGCTAGGACACAGCAGTTGACCCCACGCCGGGTTCTTAACAAACAGGTCTGTCACAGGTCAGGTAGAAAATTGGTCTGGATGCCTCAACCAACAGCGTTTCCAGGCACGTACCATACAGACTGATGCCAGCCCCCACCCCACATTTCCCTGCTGTGATGATATTTATTGCCCTCTTCCAGTGTGGATCCTACATATCTGTGTAGACATGTACAGCCTCGAGTGAACCCTGGTGCCTATGATGCAGCAGCGTGCCTGTGGCTCTCTCTGAAGTGCATTTGGTGCCTGTCTCGCAATGTGACGCCACTGAGCTGGTAGTACAGGATCTCACTGATTTGATGCTTATTGCCTCTGACATTTTCTAAGCATGGCAGGCCTGCAATGGCTCCTCGTGGAGCCAGGCGACTGTCTAGAGCAAGCAAGCAGAAGCCCTCTTACCCAACACGTCCAAGAGGTAGGTGTGAGCGATGGATCCATATTTGTTCTCCACCACACAACTGTAATTCCCACGGTCTGAGGGAACCACACTCTCCATGACCAGGCTCCAGTGCTGATGTCGTAGCTGCACACAAAATGGAGCAATGTAAGCATCCTGGTATTTATGCCATTTTGAGAAGTTCAAGCCATTGCTAAGCCTCCAATAGATTAAAAATCTTTCACCTTGATGCCACCAATCCTGTGCTCTCCTCGGAATTCTCTGCCATTTTTTAGCCAGCGAATGGTGGGAAGGGGGCTCCCAGTGGCAGGGCAGCGGAACTTGACAGTATTTCCAGCCGGGACTGCATACAGCTTCTTTTCCATCCTTTGAGTGTGAGTCCAGTATGGTGCTAAGTAGAAACCAATGTTACATTTATAGCTATCACTTTAAAACCGCAAATTAATGGGAATGAATTTGTAATTACAACGTATACTAACCTCTGGATATGTAGACCTGGTCATTTTCGGTCTCAGGACCAATGTCATCAAGACCATTATCTTCATCATCATCATCTCCCGACCCTACAGCATCTGCAGGGACACATGAAAATGTATTATATGAGCACTCAAAACACTACTATTGTTTTTATCAGTCAACATACGGCAGAACCTACCTGCCACTGTGATAGTGAAGTTGCGTAGAGCCTCTTTGGTGCCACGTAGCATACACACATATACTCCTGAATCTTCATAGGTAACATCTGCAATTTCCATGACTGCCGCTCTTATCTGGATACGGGCATTGTGTTGCACCCGAACACCACTCTTGAACCACTGGACAGCTCCAGGACGGTTTGTGTCACAACGGAGTTTAAGTACATCCCCGAGCTCCAACAGCAGGTGCTCTGATGGTTCCTCAGTTGGCTCCTCTGAAACTTCTGGAACAAAACATTAATGCAATATTTACTAATGGCTCTACATTACATTTTAGCTGTGACCTTTCAACTCTAGTGGTCTCTTTGACCTCCTAAATACTCATAAACCGGTTTTCATAGTAATATTACGCCAATGGTTAACCTAGCTGACCTTTCAGAGAATAACCACAGAACCGCCCTGAAGATGAGTAAGTTAGATGGTATCAAATGGTGTGGCTTACCCGTTAAGACTTCCACCCAGGCAGAGCGAGTAGCCTGACCAGCTGAGTTTTCCGCCTTGCATACATACTCTCCAGCATCTTCCAAAGAGATATTAACCAAAGGAAATATGTTGACTTTGGAGAGGTTCTCAAGAAGAGGCTGCAGGGGAAACAAATGTAACATTACTCCCTCGTTCCTGAAGACAGAAAATATGCATAATAGAGGATCTTTAAATCACTTTCTCACCGTAAGAGCTGTAAGTACTGGTGATCCATCAGGCCCCAGGCGATTACTGTCCTTCTTGAACCACTGGAGACGTGTTGAGGCTGGCTGGTGGAGCTTACACACCAGCTTCACATGTCCTCCGACCAACACAGTAGCATTCTCAGGATATCCAGGAGTAAGTATGTGTCGTGAAACTCTGATATCTGCTGGAGTAAAAAATGAGGTTTCAAACATTTCTGGTGTAATTAGTCTGTAGAATAAACCACATTTAATAAACATGTCTAATTAACATAACTCCACGCTAATTACTAACTAGAGCCTTTCTCACAAAGATCACCACTGTTTTAGAGCAAATCAGGCAAACAAAGCCACAAACAAAGGAGAGAACAGAAACACAATTCTCGGCTGAGAATGACCTAACTTTGACTTCACAGCAGTGTTCCTTGTGGCCTAGAGGTGAATGTGATTTCGAGCATTTGAGTGAAGAACGCCCCCTATCCAAGCAATGTCACCTCCAGCACTGAAGCATAACATTCTCCCACCAATACACTAATGAACTTCGATGAATAAAACTAGAGCCTGGCCCGTATCTGACCCTGAAAAGGGTGCGAATGGTCAACTGGAAAATAAAGACACGCTAAACAAAACACACAAAACACATGCGCCCACTAAAAATAGGCTGAATAGATGAACTGGCAAACATTACATAAAAAGAAGTCTCTTGAGGACACACTTTGTAGGGGCACATATCATCATTTGAACTTTCAAACCCATGCAGACTTTCCCAAACACTATCGGTGAACTCACAAAGACATATTTTCAGAATTGAAAATACTCATTAGCTGTAGATAAATCAAATTATTTCTATGAAATGCTTGTATTTGTACTTCCTCCTAAACAAGTTCATTTCTGCCTCTTCTTGTTCTTAGCTCTGCATTTCTTACTTGCCTGGGTGGCTCTGCCCATTAAAGTCTTACAGTTGTCAAATGACTTTAATTTTTCTTGGCAGGAACTTAGTGGGGCATTGTTGGGCTGCACCACAGGGTTTTGCAACCTTTATCACCTTCCAAGCTCTGTACGTAGCTCACAAGTGTTTAGAGAAAGATGATTTTAACGAACACTTTGCCCCAGTCTTCACAAGGATCTACATCTGTTCCTTTCATTCACTTTGACTCAAAACAGTGCACGTAAGCTAAGAGTATCAACAGCCCAACAGACAAGGCTAATGACTAATGATGTGATTTAAGGAAATCCTCTGATTTGTATACAGGAGACTTTTTCCACACACACACAAAAAAAAACTCAGGTCCATGAAAATCTTAGTAGCTCTCAGAGATAATCTCATACCCCCATGGCAGGTACAAAATCTAGACAACCCCCTGTTTGTACAATTGAATAAGAGATCCATCTTTCCCACCCCCCAACATCCCACAATCTCCTGTCACTGGCACTGGGCCAGACAGATTTACACTTCCGAGCCTCAGGGCTTTGGCAGGATCAGGTAGCACTGTTTATGGCTCAAGAAAATACTGGGATTCTTTTACTCTCTAAACGATTACATCCTTTCCAACTTCCCCTGGACTTAAATTCTGTGCAATCGGCTCCACTTAATCATATATTAAATATTCATTATATTCAAACCATGCATTGCAGTGGGTCAGATTATACAGTTAACTACAACATAATTATTTTAAAGACAATTTATTTTGCAAATGACATATTGTGTACTTGTACACTGATTTTAATTAAAAACTATACCTTTTGCCCTGGGTTCCCCGGATGTTATGCTTCTTGAGCACACCAGTTCCATGAAACAGATGGCAATGAAAACCTTTAAGATGCTCAACATCTTGCTGAGGTAATGTTTGTGAGTGTGAGAGACAGCTGGTCAGCTTCAAATGCTGACTCCAGGCATTGGCAACCTCTGTGTAGTCACAAACCTGAGAGAAAAAAAGAGCTGATTTACAATTCACGGAAGCCATTGTGAAAGATGAACCTTTAAAATGACATAAATGCATAATGCATTGCACATCCCAACCCTGCCGCATTTGAAAATGAATGTCCCATTGTACACCTACATCATTGTTGGACATCGTCCACCTCCCGCATGGACATGAATAACCCTTAGGTACGAATGCGCAGCACTTAAGGAAAGTTGTTTATGAATGGAACCTGTACAACGTGCTTGCAATGGGTCGTTTCTATAAATAAACCCCGGAATTGGATCCGGAACATATATGACTTCAACAATTAGCACAATTATTTAAATTTATAGCTGATATATTACGTTGTTTGTGTATATATATATATATATATACATACACACACACACACACACACACACACACACACACACACGTATGTGCTTACTCCAAGTGTGCATCTAAAATACTTGTTTTTGCTCAGCATGAGAGGTAAATAATAGCAAACGTCAGGCTCTCCGGGTACGAGGAGACACATGTGATCTCAAAACATAGGAGAATTTCACACCGGGGTGAGAGTTTGGTTAAGCTAAATGAATCCATTTACAAGTGTGAAACCACTTGGTGGTGTTAATGAAAGTCGCAAGTAAACCTAAACCGGGAGAGAAAAATAAACAAGAGCTATATATGAAAAGTCGGACTTTCATTTAATCAATAGTTAACATAAGTGCATTATATTTTTATGGGCTACCAAATTCCTAAACCGCGCAGAAATAAGCGCAAGCGAAGAACAAAACAGTGTTTTATCTAGTACGTTCATTCAAAACAGCCTTAATAACTAACTTGAACAACCGATTATTTAAGGAACATGCATAGCTATAAATCATTTTTATGCAACAAATCTGACCCAAGTTCACCACATTCAAATAATATTTTTTTACCTATTTTCCTGTGCCCTTTGCCCGGTCCGTACGGGTTCAATAAGGCACCAGAAGTACTTAGTACCCTTGGTTCGCGGTGGCCCCCGAGACACTCATGTGCCCCTTTTCCCACAGGTTCGGGATTATTTATCGGTCAATCCAATGCGCAGCTTTTGGTAAAGCCTGAACTACTCTGGTAAATCCATTTAAAAAGCAAAACCAATACGCGGATGGTACAAGGGTAAGACTGCTAATCTTCGGATTCAAAGTCCAGTGCTGCTTTCCTTTGATGAGCTTCTCCGCTTCTCGCGCTGTGCTCGTAAGCGCTCCCGAATCCAAAACCCGCTCTAGATATCCACAAAAAATTATGATTTAGTCTCCTTTTCTTACTCAAAATGAAAAGAAACTCCAGCTTTAGACTGTCCGTTGAAAATCATCCATAAACAATCACTCTGCCGCGCGCCTCTGTGTTATTTCACGTGAATGCTGTGGTTTGCGCGCAGTGACAGTGGACCGCAGTTCAGCTCTCGCACTCTCTGTTCCTGTACAATGATTTGCTCCACAGTTTAGTTGAGTTTTAAATCTGAAGAGCGTCTGTCTGGCAACTTTCTGCTCAGAGCAATGCGTCTCTCTGGCAGTGGGAGACAACAGCACTCTGAGGGGAAGGTTCACAACAATGGACTAAAATCTGAGGGAGAGAGAGAGGGGGGTTAGAGGGGGGTGTTAAATCCCCCACCCACAAAAACAAATCCCCAGAGGCAGACCCCAGCAGTGAGGTCTATCGATATTATATTATAATTAGATATAAATTATAAGCAATGATATAAAATGTATTCTATGAGAATTACAGCAATCTGTGACAAATTTATATCAATATTTGATTTTTTTAAGGATCAGAATGTTTTTTTTTTTTTTTTTAATTTTGTGGACGGTTATACTCCCTGGTCATTGGTAAATTTAAGAAAAGCACACACAAATAATAAATAAATAAATAAATAAATAAAACTAATATTTATTTTTATTCAAGTGAAAAAGAATTAACACAATTAAAAATACAGAACAAATATACACTCAAAAATGGCTTTTGCTGCTTATTCAAAATATTTATTTAAAATGAGTTAAAAACTTCTTACGTTTTTTGGGGACAACTTAAACGTTCTTATGTTCAATCAACTTAAATTTGTAAAAAAAAAAAAAAGAAAGAAAGGTTAACTGAACTTAATTGATTTGTGTTGGGACAACATGAATGAATTGTGTGGAACGCAGCATTTTTTACAGTGTAAGCTACATAAAACCCGTATAGATCCCCAAAAATTCAAAGACAGATTGATTAACAATTTATAATAATATTTCAAAGCAATAACAATACAACAACAATTAATATTATATCAGAAAATAAACAGGGACGAATTTAGTGATTTTCAAGTCCTGAAATGCACCCTTTTTACTTTTATTCATTTATTTATATTTATTTATATATTTATTCATATTTATATATATATTGCTCAATCTTCCTTCGCTCAATGTAAACTTCACATTTTAAATAATTAAATGTCTTAAAATAAATTTACACCAATAATAATAATAATAATAATTATATATATATATATATATATATATATATATATATATATATATATATATATATATATATATATATATATATATATATATATATATATATATTTATATATTATTATTATTTTCTTCTTACATTTGACTGCTGTACTGCTCCATGACTGAGGGTGGTGGATATTTTCTTTTCATAATATTATTATTATTATTACACAACATTAAGTTATAATAATAATAATATTGTATTTTATTTTATATTAAATATTTATTTATGTATTTGTTTGACTCACTATACAAAATATGATAGTAAATGATGTTATATATAGTTTATATGCATAAATTATAGATATTTATAATTACAAATAAGACTTTCTCCAGAAGAAAAAATATTATCAGACATACTATCAAAATTTCCCTGCATGTTCTGTTAAACATCATTTGGGAAATAGTTAAGAACTAATACAAAAGGGGGTTAATAGTTCTGACTTCAACTGTATATGCAAATATATAGATGTATAAAACAAAACAAAAAATCTGCACAATTACATCACATTGACATTTTTTTTAAATCTGTGCCACACGCACATTAACTAAAATGAATTATAATGCCTTTCAACATGAAAAAGTTATCAGAAGAAATTAATTAAGGTAATATCTAAGCATACAAAATAAAAGCAAAATCTGAAAGTCACGCCATTGACGCCTGTGTGTGAAAAATAAACACAATTAATAATCCCGCACTAAATTAGTAAATAGACCAGCTAAATAACTCTAAATAACCCCTCGATTTATTGCAATGTAAATAAGCGGGAACAGCCAGTTCCTTTGAAAAAGCTCATCCAGCTCTTTATTCAACAACTGTAAATGACACCTTTCCTTAATTACATCATTGTGCTACATTGCCCGCTAATCCTTTTAGACATGACGTCACAACACCGCGTAATTGATTAATTAGTCGATAGAAAGGTCTATTAGAGATTTCGCGCGTTTTTGTTTTTGTTCGGGAACTTGTTTGGAAACTATCATAAGTTTGTTGTAAATGGAAAGAGCTGTTCTCCGTTGCTGTTTTCAAGCGTCTGCTTAATAATATACATCTGGTTAATGAGAAAACTTTCAGAAAATTGATCATGGATACGTTTCCAAGGTCGCGCAGGTGTTTATAACGAACCGTGCCCGAGGCGGAGAGAGTGAGGCTTAAAGTGCTTACGAGACTGATCTGAGGGGAGCACTTTGTTTGAAATGATCCAGTTTTCTCCCATTCATCAGCGGTCTTGCGGCACAACGAGCCCCGCGGTCAAGAGCAGAACGGGAGCGCGCAGACAAATTTCACTGTACTGCGCATGCGCAGACTGATCAAACAGCTTCATTATGGTGATCAAAGATAAACAGTTTATTAGACTTAGTTCATGATTACACTCAACAAAAAGTGCCCATTAATACTAATTTACTAACTTAAAAAAACAATAGGCTACATTAATTAGTACTTTTCATGCTTCTTAATGTTAGCTAATGAAAATAAAGTTCATTGTTCATGTTAGCTAATGTTTGAAAGCATTTGAAATGTTTGATTGTAATAGCCAGGGGCGGACTTAGTGTTTTGGGAGCCCGGCTAAGCAATTTCAGGTATGAGGCCCTAGCATTAAATCTCAAACCTCTTTCTCTATAGATTTATTTATTTTTTTCTGTGGATGATTTTTTTGTTTGTTTGTTTATTTCGTAAATAAACTGCATATTAAAATATATTTCAAGTGGAACCTTTATTTTCTTAATGTAAAATTTAATTAAAATTAAGTAAAGTTCCACTATTCCCTGGTTTAAAAAAAAAAAAAAGCAATAACATTAAAATCTTAATGGTTATAGAGAGATTTACAACATTTGATGGTAAACTTATAATAATGATTAAAAAAAACAATATGATAAATATATTCTCCGGGGTCCTAAGCGGCTGCTTACCTTGCTTATTTGTTAAATCCGCCACTGGTAATAGCTAAAAAGTAAATGTTGAGCTATGATTAGGGCCAGACAGAATCTGTGGACATTTTTTGCTATTTCTGTGGAGAATTTGCAGAATGCTTTTAGGAGTATCACAACTAAAAACCTAATATATGAATAAAAATATACATCAGCCTTTATTTAATGTTTACAATGCAAATCCAATTAGATCCACTTATTTGGTAAACAAAGCAAGTCTCTCATATATAATATAACTACTAAAAGGCAAAATATTAATATACAAACTGTATTGTAAATAAATCATTTAAAAACATTTTAATACATTATTATCACAATAATATTAGTGAAATTACATTGAAAGCTGAATAAATATACATACATTGTACACACATTTACAAACGTAAATACATAAACTAAATGATGGGCTAAAAATTTGCGCAAATTCCGTGTGGGCCTAGCTATGATTAATAAATGCTCTACAAGTACTGTAGTAAGTATTGTAGGGCTTAGTTAATGCATTAACTAATTAATGGAACCTTGTTTTACAGTGTGACATAATAAAAAATGTAAAAATATATCAAATTCCTTGTGTGTTAATCCAATAATTGCCCTGAAATTTACATCACTTAAACTTGTCAAACTAACATTGTGTGATATGTAGTCAGTACATAAAATAGTTGGGTTAAAATATACCAATATATAACCCAACTTTAGAGCATTATAGCACCTTCCCAACTTGGGGTTACTTTAACCCAATGCATTGGGTTATTCTGATTAAATGCTTTTTTTGGGGGGGGGGTTTATATTACTATTGCTACTATTACTAAATAAAAATAAAAAACCAACAAAGCACCAAATATTTAACTCAACTAGTTGAGTTATTATTATAATAATAACATTAATAGTTTTTTTGAGTGTTTGTTCTGTTTCTTCATTGCTTGTGATTCTTGATTTATTTTAACAAAAGTGTCTGAAACTAAAATGAAATGGAAATAAGGCATTTTCAATATTTTTGATTACTGTGTGTTATTTATTTACACACATAAAACACATAATACCAGAATGTAAAAAATAACATTTAATCAAAATAACAAAATGCATTGAGGTAAAGATTAAAATAAAGATTAAAAATAACCCAACAAAGCACCAAATATTTAACGCAACTAGTTGAGTTTTTAATAAATAATTTAATAAAGGTTAAAAATAACTCAACAAAGCAACAAATAAGTTTAACTCAACCATTGGATTAAATAAATAATTTAACGATTTGTGTACAAACAAGCAAAAATACTAAATCCAGCTTTATATAGATTGAAATGAACAGCAGGCAAATAAAATAAAAATAAACAATCAAAATTAATATACAGCAAGCATGCAAGCAAGAAAATAACTCAAAGATTAAACTGGCCATATATTGACTACAGAAATGGTGTCAGGTATGATAAGCGCTGCTCTTCTGTACTAGTGAACCAGAACAGTTATCTTTCCACACCTCATATAAAGAAAAAAGAGATTTTGCTCTATTCTCTCTCTCTCCTCGTGTCTATCCCGCTCTCTTTCCTTCTGTCTATTTATCTCTTACTTTTTCTAGCGTGATCCTCTGGCCTCTCGGGGAGCCGCTGACATTCCCCTGAACAATGGCAGGTTTTCCCCCACCGCCGTCCTCAGCTTGTGTCTCCAAGGCCAGGAATTAAAGCCCACTGCAGCAACAATCGGCCCCTCTCCCAATCCCACTGCCTGCTCTTTGTTATAGGCTGCTGAATGTGAATGCCCCATTAAAGCCTATTA